TTGTGTATCTCACATGAGAATTTTATATCTGAGCATCTAATAATTTTTCAAAAGTAGTAAAATGGTTATAAGCTGGTAAACAACAGACGTCTGTAGTGTTTAATATGTCAGTCTCAGCTGTATTTAGGATCAACTGTACATTGAACCTAATGCTGAGATTAGCTTGTTAACATGCTGTTTTGGCTTTATGCTCCAAGTACAGCTGAGCTAAAGCTGGATGTTTTTCTAGTGGGAATTTGACCTCTGGGTGGCGCTATAGGGACATAGCACCAAAGTTATGAGGATAGATTTTGCATTACTTCCCTCTGGATCAAACACCATAATAAACAGAACAATAAATAGCACTGTGATCCCTGGAGTGCCACCACTAGCCTGAGCAGAAATGTAATGCAACCTGTAAGACCTGTGATAAACTGCCTAATGATGTAATTATATTTCATTGTTTAAGTACAAAGCAGTTATGACCTAATGCAGAGTAGGCATACAGATAATAAAATATGCTTTACTACCTTCCTATTTTTATGATTATTATTAATTTTATATCATGAGTTTAAAAAGTTTGTTACACCTTAGAAGTCATAATCATTTTGAAGCATAATATAATCCATGTAGAGGAACAGTTTTCTCACATTCTGACAACTTATTAAATTGTCCAGCATTATCTCGTTATCAGTTTCTGAAATCTTTTAGATAGAACTTTTTTGGAACAACTAGTAATTTTGTAAAATCTGCAAATGAAGTTACAACTGAAATTCATCAGTGAAACAAACTTAGCTTGTCCAATTTGTTTCTTTCTGTTCCCAAGTGCCAGAGAGTTGGAGCTGGAGGACCGACAGAGCCGACTGCAGCAGGAGCTCAGGGAGCGAATGGCTGTGGAAGGTGACGCCAGGAGTGCTAATTAGCCAATAACCTGCTCGCTTTCGCTCTGAATATTTACAATCAGTTGTTTCTTTAATTCTTTGTTTTCCTATGCTTCTTTCAGACCACCTGAAGACCGAGAAAGAGCTTGCTCAAGAGAAGCAGATTCTAAATGAGATGTTGGAGGTCGTGGAGCAGCGTGATGCCCTGGTGGCCCTCCTGGACGAGCAGAGGCTTCGGGAAAAGGAGGAAGACAAAGACCTGGAGGCTGTCGTGCTCTCCAAAGGCTTCAGTCTCAACTGGGCTTAAGAGGAGTGAAATAATTGCTTGTCAAGTTTTGGGAATAGGGTTCGACTTGTGCTAGGTCCTCTCTGCCCTGCATGGTCAACTTTGATCAGAACACAGGCAGTTGGTCTAAAACTGTCACACCTGCAGCAGTGAATGTGTAAAGATCCCGCTCTCCTACACACAGACACAAACAAACACACACACAGACACACTATGGCTGCCTCTGACATTGAAGCAGTGTGCAACGTTTACATATCCCCTGCCCATAGGCAGCCCTAGTTAAACACTTTGCAGTTTTGCTTGTGCTGTCTCTCTGTGGGTGGAGAGGCGAATACATTCACAGTGGGAGAATGTTCAAAGACTTGTTTCATTCTTGACTATCTAAAGGAAAGAATGCACTTCTGTCCTGCTGATGTAAATGAATTGTAAAAAATGTTTTTGTGCATAGTTGTGTAGAGCAAGTCACATTTTCAGAGGAGGAAGGTGTTCTCTTTTTCAAAAAGGACTGCTACATGGATGTGTTTAAATGCTGGAGTGATGTCTCCAGGCTCAGTCGTTTCAGTCTGAGAAGAACAACATCTGCTAAAGCTGCCTTTCTATCCAGTGACAAACTGACTTCTGCAACCTAATGAACCACAAAGACTCCCTGAAAGGCTCCTTTCCCCCCTTCCAATAGCGTTTAGTGAGTTAACAATAAGAAAACATTAACTATAGCCATGTTTTTTTAATGTATTTATTTTGTTTTAACATTTCTTGTTGTGCATTCACAGGAGAGTGCCAAGAATCTCATTATCTTGCACTAGTGCATTAACTTCATGCACCCATAAGCCATTGCATGTCAGGAATGAAGGCTGCAGGCACATATAGAAAATGTATATCGTCTTTGATAGCTTTTACATTATATGAACATTTAAGCACTTGACATGACCTGATAAAGATGGGCCTCTCCAGGAGATGCTGTTGGGTTTTTATGTTTCCTACTGTGGTAAACAGTACCCAGGTCAATCACTTGTTGAAAAGGTTTATCTTGGAAAGAACTATCTTTTCAGGTTCATCTAACTTTCTACAATATGTGTTAACATTGTCATGTTACTATCATGAATAAATCTGGCTTCATTTTTGCTAATGAGAGACCAGTGTAGCTCACATCACTCATTCTGTGCCACACGACTGTCTCTGTTGGTGGATGTGCTGCAATATCTACGTACACCACACTACACAACACTTAATATCAGCATATGACAGTGTTAATCCTTTACCCTTGAACAAGAGGCCTTTATCATTTTGATTCCCATTCATTAAATATATGTTTTTATTGAGTTTACTTGTTTTTGGAGTCCCACTAGAATTAAATATTTTCACTTTTATAGAATCAATACTTTTTTACAGCATGTCCCCAACCAAATGATTTTAAATAAAGCGCCGAAAAAAAAAACAAAGAAAGAGCTTTATGGACAACTTGCATCAAACAGGAACGTTATGCAGGGTTTTCCCTAGGTTTTCAGTGGGCTTAGGTGTAGTCTAGATGGAGGGGGTAGAGAGTTTAAAGTTATTCAGAGGAAATTTTGAGTTATTTCAGTTCTCGCTCTCATATTTTTTATCATTATCCTTAAAATCTTTATGAATGACAACTGGTAACACTTATTGTACATACAAACTATAGTTTTAAGTTTTTTTTTGTTTTTGTTTTTTTTTGTCAGTGCATAGAATTCCCCGTTTTTTTTTTTTGGGGCATATATTCATTCTGTCACCTAAAGGCCTTTTAATGTTCATTTGGCTTAAGGTGCTCTGCAAAAACACTTGGGTGCTGCACCTAACCCTTTCTATGTCAGGGAAAACCCTGACAATATGGATTAACTGTTCGGCAGTCAAATCTCATATCTTTTTTGACAACTGAAAAAAAAAAAAGGAGAAAAATCCAGGCGAGTACAGTTTTACAGCACAGAAACACTAGAGGCTATATTTATGACTTGGTATCAGCTGTGAAAAGTTACATAATTTTAAGGGTTGTTTTAGGTGGTGTAAAGTTTGACATGATTGTATTGATATTTATTAACACGTATGCAAACTGTATTATTTGTAAAGAAAATGAATCTTAATTTTTAAACTGTTGACACATGACCTGTAATGTAAATGCTTCATGTAGCTACAGTGCATAGGGGTGGTGTATGTATGCTGAAATGGCAATAAAACAACGCGGTTGTTCTTTTAAGTGTCTATCCATTGAAAGTCACTGTATGGTAAATGATTATGGATGGGTTTTAGTTACACTTTAAAAAACTTAATTGTAAGCTAAAACTGACATCATGTTTGGATGATTTTCCCCAACCTTTTATGGTTGTAACCTAAGGTTGACAGATGAGGTCAGACAGGAATCTCCGTGGACAATGATGTTTGCGGATGACATTGTGATCTGTAGTGAGAGCAGAGAGCAGGTGGAGGAACACCTGGAAAGGTGGAGGTCTGCTCTGGAAAGAAGAGGAATGAAAGTCAGTCGTAGTAAGACAGAATACATGGGAGGGAAGTGGAACAGTGAGGTTACAGGGGGCTGAGGTCAAGAAGGTGCAGGAGTTTAAGTATTTGGGGTCAACAGTCCAGTGTGATGGGGAGTGTAGGAAAGAGGTGAAGAGGCGAGTGCAGGCAGGTTGGAGTGGGTGGAGAAAGGTGTCAGGAGTGTTGTGTGATAGTAGTGAGACCAGCTATGCTGTATGGGTTAGAGACTGTAGCAGTGAGGAAAAGACAAGAGGCAGAGATGGAGGTAGCAGAGATGAGGATGTTGAGGTTCTCTTTAGGAGTGACCAGGATGGACAGGATTAGGAATGAGCACATCAGAGGGACAGCTCAGGTTGGCTGTTTTGGGGACAAGGTTAAAGAGGCCAGATTGAGATGTTTTGGACATGTGCAGAGGAGGGATAGTGGTTATATTGGTAGAAGGATGTTAGAGATATATGGATGCGCTAAAAGAGGACATGAAGTTAATTGGGTGGAAACAGATGATTTGCTGTGGCGACCCCTAACAGGAACAGCCGAAAGAAGAAGAAGAAGAAGAAGAAGCTAAGGCCAATGAGCCACCTTTATTTTTTAAAGTCAAGCTTGAAAAAGATGGAAATGACCCTGACGACATCAACAAAGGGTTGTTTTCTCATTTTGTTATAAAAGGGTAAACATAAACATGACAAAAAAAAAAAAAACCTAAAGCAATGGCTCCTCAGAGATCTTCCAACCCCAGGCTGCCCAAGCAGCCCGGAAGCAGCAAGACCCCGAACCAAGCATTGCTATACAATATTAATCATTTCTGGGCTGTCGAACCGTGACGTCACCTGATATGCCAGCTTGGCAGCTGAGCAGAGCAGTAGACAAAACATGAAGAAAATAATGTGTGTGGCTGTTGTTTTCGTGGTGTGTATCTAAAACAATTTGACATAACATTACACATTAAGACAAATATTATGGTTACTTTTACCGTCATAATAACATTTGTCCCTGACTGCCGCCTTTCTCTGCTTTAACTAACCTTGCATTTAACAGCCTGAGGAAGACATCCTGGCTACACCAACATCTTCTAATACAACAGATCTCGAATCAATATCTATCTAACTAAGAAATTACCTAACACAAATATAACAAAATAAAATACGGAAATAAAACCCGCAGGTAATACCCCGGTTCGGGCCCATTCTCACATTACAGACTTAGACCTACCCATGAAAAACCAACGTACACATTAAAAAATGTGCTACTGAAAGGACGTATTACAAATAACTTTTACACCCGTGTTGCACTTATTATGAAACAGGCCGGGCTACTTCCGGTCTTGTGATGAACTCTGTTCTCCTGCCAGGATGTTTCCCCCTGTTAAAACCTTGTTTGTAGTAACGCCCCCCTTTGTGGTTATGCTCAGAATAAGGTCAGGGTTCAGGTTAGGTGTTTACCCAGTTCTGGTGCTGTCCGTCCGTCGAAGGTTGAGAGAGCTCGTATCTGCGATTTAAAGATGAATGCTTCAAGTTTCAGGGACTGTGAGGTCAGTGATGTGGTTTCAGGGAGAAGTTGCTGATTTAAAGTGTATAAATAATCATTGTGGCTAAGATTAGCATGAGAAAGGAAACGATTTTAGGTGTTTGGTGTGAAGTTAATAAGTGTTGCTGCTGCTGCAGTCATGGGCATTAATGCAAGTGTGGCGTTAACGAGAAAACATGCTGGATTAAACCTTGTTCATCTGAGATTTTGCACAAAATATAGTTATAAGTAGGACTTGTAGTGCTCCGGGTTTGGGCTTATGACGGCGATATTAAACGTAACATTAATGCCCGCTATGGATAACGGTGTTTGCGTAATTTAGTTTCGATACCAGTAACACAGAAACCTGTTTGTTGGATGGGCTGGGTCAGTCTTTAACCTCTGCCCACTGATGGTTAGCCACCATAACTGTATGGTGTGTGCACACTTTTCAATGACTGATTTGTAAGATAGAAAAAGTGCTCTGTGGAACTTTGTCTCTCAAAACCAGAGTGACTCTGACTCTGTCCCTACAGGCATGGAGGGCGGAGGGTCTCTCATTGTCCAGCAGCAGTAATGAGGCTTGCAAACTGTATGACGCCATACTCACGCAGGTATCCATGCACATACCTCTCACGTGCACGCAGTCATATTGTCTGCGGACTTACTGTATATGACAAGGACAACGAAAGGTAGATGTCACAGTGTCCAGTTTTGTTTGGCTCGTAGTATGTGAAATGGCGGAATGATGAAACCTTGGGAGGATTTGAAGGATGCATGTCTGCTATCCATGCTGCTGACCCTAACTTTGGTAAGTAGATGTGTGGTCAAACATCATTTATTTCATTTGGCCTTTAATATAATCAGGTTAAGTCCTGATGTGGTATGGAACCTCCTTCACATGGCTGGGAGAGAGCAGTGACAAATATAAAAGGAGACAAAAACACAAATGTTAAAAACTAAGATATAAAACAACGAGGAAGCGGTGAAGGCAACGGTGCTAAAATTATCCACAGCAAAAATAACCTAATTAATAATGAATCTGACCCTATGTAGTGTAAATAGTGAGCAGCAATCATAAATGTTTTGATACCATCTTGTTATTAACTGCAAGATATGTTTACACCTTGGCTAATTATTAGTAGCTTCCTGATTTGTAATTTGTTTACCTAAAGCATTTGACCTGTAGACTTTGCTGTCAAGAACCAGAGGTTGATCTCTACCAATCCCTGAGACGGACGTTTGTGTTGTGTTTGTGTTTAGTTTTAGCTTTTGAGCATTTTAAAGTTCTAAAGCTTCTGCTGTGCAGGTTCAATATTTATTGGTGCCCCTGGGAACTTGCAAGCTGCTTTGGACTTAAAATACACAATCAGACCATTTAAATGTTGCCTATGTTACAAACTGAGGTCTTTAGGGTTAACATCAGCAACATTGTTCAAGTAAATCCTGAATGATAGATGCATCTAATGAATAAAACACAACTGTCTTTGCTGTTGCTCTTGTTCTCACAGTCTTGGATAGAAAACACCAACTTGGTCATCATACTATTCTGTTCTCCTGCCAGGATGTTTCCCCCTGTTAAAACCTTGTTTGTAGTAACGCCCCCCTTTGTGGTTATGCTCAGAATAAGGTCAGGGTTCAGGTTAGGTGTTTACCCAGTTCTGGTGCTGTCCGTCCGTCGAAGGTTGAGAGAGCTCGTATCTGCGATTTAAAGATGAATGCTTCAAGTTTCAGGGACTGTGAGGTCAGTGATGTGGTTTCAGGGAGAAGTTGCTGATTTAAAGTGTATAAATAATCATTGTGGCTAAGATTAGCATGAGAAAGGAAACGATTTTAGGTGTTTGGTGTGAAGTTAATAAGTGTTGCTGCTGCTGCAGTCATGGGCATTAATGCAAGTGTGGCGTTAACGAGAAAACATGCTGGATTAAACCTTGTTCATCTGAGATTTTGCACAAAATATAGTTATAAGTAGGACTTGTAGTGCTCCGGGTTTGGGCTTATGACGGCGATATTAAACGTAACATTAATGCCCGCTATGGATAACGGTGTTTGCGTAATTTAGTTTCGATACCAGTAACACAGAAACCTGTTTGTTGGATGGGCTGGGTCAGTCTTTAACCTCTGCCCACTGATGGTTAGCCACCATAACTGTATGGTGTGTGCACACTTTTCAATGACTGATTTGTAAGATAGAAAAAGTGCTCTGTGGAACTTTGTCTCTCAAAACCAGAGTGACTCTGACTCTGTCCCTACAGGCATGGAGGGCGGAGGGTCTCTCATTGTCCAGCAGCAGTAATGAGGCTTGCAAACTGTATGACGCCATACTCACGCAGGTATCCATGCACATACCTCTCACGTGCACGCAGTCATATTGTCTGCGGACTTACTGTATATGACAAGGACAACGAAAGGTAGATGTCACAGTGTCCAGTTTTGTTTGGCTCGTAGTATGTGAAATGGCGGAATGATGAAACCTTGGGAGGATTTGAAGGATGCATGTCTGCTATCCATGCTGCTGACCCTAACTTTGGTAAGTAGATGTGTGGTCAAACATCATTTATTTCATTTGGCCTTTAATATAATCAGGTTAAGTCCTGATGTGGTATGGAACCTCCTTCACATGGCTGGGAGAGAGCAGTGACAAATATAAAAGGAGACAAAAACACAAATGTTAAAAACTAAGATATAAAACAACGAGGAAGCGGTGAAGGCAACGGTGCTAAAATTATCCACAGCAAAAATAACCTAATTAATAATGAATCTGACCCTATGTAGTGTAAATAGTGAGCAGCAATCATAAATGTTTTGATACCATCTTGTTATTAACTGCAAGATATGTTTACACCTTGGCTAATTATTAGTAGCTTCCTGATTTGTAATTTGTTTACCTAAAGCATTTGACCTGTAGACTTTGCTGTCAAGAACCAGAGGTTGATCTCTACCAATCCCTGAGACGGACGTTTGTGTTGTGTTTGTGTTTAGTTTTAGCTTTTGAGCATTTTAAAGTTCTAAAGCTTCTGCTGTGCAGGTTCAATATTTATTGGTGCCCCTGGGAACTTGCAAGCTGCTTTGGACTTAAAATACACAATCAGACCATTTAAATGTTGCCTATGTTACAAACTGAGGTCTTTAGGGTTAACATCAGCAACATTGTTCAAGTAAATCCTGAATGATAGATGCATCTAATGAATAAAACACAACTGTCTTTGCTGTTGCTCTTGTTCTCACAGTCTTGGATAGAAAACACCAACTTGGTCATCATACTATTTGAAAGTCCAACAATAAAAGACCAGTTTTTTGTTTTCCCTGTAGTTATGGGCCATGTGATCAGCACGGGACTGGTGCTGGTGGGAACAGCAAGCACCACTCGGCTGAATGAGCGTCTGGCTAGCGCTGTGAGGCGATCAGTGGAGCTGGCTAACAGCCAGGACATATCTCCCAGAGAGAGGCTCCACGTCAAGGCTATGGAGCTCTTCTCAAGAGGGTATGATTCGGAGCTAGGCCGCCTCTGGAAATGCAGTCAAAACAGAAGGATGAATAAGAATTTTGTCCTGTGTATCTGTGGTTCCTTAAGAGGGGTCACAACACCACAAGTATGCTTTGAAGTTAAGCATCACAAGACTAGCAGCATGAGATGTTGTTAATATTCACCAGTTGTTTTAACATATGTTAAAATGCTGATATGTATATGCATTTTGTACAGTGGGTAGCTGTGTAATGCAGAGAAAAACAGAAATGCCTGCTGGCTTTGAAAAGTAAAGGCTAACATACAGAGAACCTTCAAATATTTAACTTGCCCAGAAATCACTTTCTCAATACAAATCGTAAAAAAAAAATAAAAATAAACTCCACAGATCAAACAGAGTTGCTGTGGTCAGCCCTAGGTAATTTTGATACACAAGTTTAAGAACAATAGTTGACAATCTGCCATAGGATCACATGAAACAGAGCCAGCCATGTGTATAAGGGATTAAATTTAATAAAAAGAAGAGAGCCAGTCTGTGCTAAAACCCTGCAGCAATGAGCTGATGTACAACGCTATACTCAGTGCTTCCAGTGAATTGATGGGAGGTGATTTGTGGTTGCAGCAGTTAGCAGGAAAGCCTTATGTGCTGTGATGTAGCAGCTGGGCGATTTAAACTGCTGCACGATGTTGGATAACCAGGTTGATGCACTTTGGGCAAACTGACAAGAAATTTTTGTGTATCACTGGTTACAACCAATTTATAATAGCAGGGCAATAACACTAGCAGGAAGAGGTATCGCTGCTTAAATGCACAATACCCTAATATCTCCCAGATCTGCCCCACCTTATCAAGGTCAAACAACACAGGCACACATGCACCATCATCTGCAATCACTCAAAGTCAATTGGTAACATCTGCACATGGCAAACACAAAAGCACTCACTGAACACAGGCAACTTAGTTTGAATCTGCCACATTTGGCAAAATGTGCCAAGCTGCTAAGGGACTGGACTCTGCGAATTCTGTATACACTATATGTCTAATACTATTAGTGCTTTCATCACTCTTCATGAGCTCTTAGGTCACACTTTCTCTACATTGCATTCTTTTCTCCTGGTCGATTACATTGCCAAAGGCTATCACCATGAGAGGACTGTTTTGTTGCAGTTTACAAGCTTTGCTACAATTGATAAGCGTTCCTCTTTTACAATAACTCCCCCGCCATAGGCCTCTATCTTTTATAATAAACACCTGGCCGTATGCTAGCTTAATGATAGCCTATGTAACAAATCTCTCTTAGGCTTCTGGTTCTGGCAGGCAGCTGCTGTGCAGACACCGACAGAGAATCAGGAGCGCTCATGTTTCACAGCAGCCTCAGTAGTCCTGCCTTTCTGAAACCCATCGCATCAGCGACATGGTAGGAAACACAGCATGTCACTGCAGGTACTGTAAGGTGTGAACTGCTATGAATATAGCATCTCACTTTACATTCAAAGTGATACTTTCGATTTATGTTTAGGGTGGGGGTTAAAAATACATGGCTGCCCTAACACCCTTTAAATTTTAATCAAATACAAATTATTTAAAAACACGTTTAAACCCCCATCCTCCAGCGACCGTGTGTCTGCTGTATCCCAAACAGGTGGACCCCGGTCACTGTGGCACTGAGGGCAAAAAAATAAATAAATAAAGCCATGATTAGGTAAGTGGATGACTATGCAGCAATTAGTGCACCATTGACTAGTGTTGAGACATTTTATCTCAGACACTCCTCAAACTACTGCTTAAATACATCCATTCACTAGGCTATAATTCACTAAGCATATTAAAGGTCAAAGCATATGAATCCCACCTGTGGTAGAGTATGTGATGCAATGAGCTGAATGTAAATCTAATGCTGGAGATGCCTTGTACGGGGTGCTTGACCGGACAAACAACCCTGCAACACATTGTTAGATTTTTAAATAATTTTAACACACAGTGGTTAGCGCCGTTGCCTCACAGTGAGAAGGTTCCAGGTTCGGGCCCCACCTGGGACCTTTCTGTGTGGAGTTTGCATGTTCTCCCCGTGCTTGCGTGGGTTCTCTCCGGGTGCTCCGGCTTCCTCCCACTGACCAAAGATATGCAGCTTAGGTTGATTGGTGTCTCTAAATTGCCCATAGGAGTGCGTGCGTGTATGTGTGGTTGTTTGTCTATGTGTTAGCCCTGCGATTGATTGGCGACATGTCCAGGGTGTACCCCGCCTTCGCCCGATTGCCGGCCGGGATTGGCTCCGGCCCCACCCGTGACCCCCTTCAGGGACTAAGCGATAGAAAATGAATGAATGAATATTTCCATTTTATTGCATGAAATAAGTATTTGATCACCTCCTGCGCACACAGTATTAAGCAGGTGGTCATAATGTTATGGTTGATCCATGTATGTATTTATACAGGTTAGGCGCTGACTTTCAGGCTAAATTAAACTTAACAAAAGGCAGCGGAACTGATAAATTGAACAGTTAAAACAACATTATGTAACAACTACTATGTAATAACTGTCTGCCTACTTTGTGCCCTTTTATTTGAAGGGTTGCTATTTTTGATTAAGATATGTCTTTCCACTGTCTGTCCCATAAAAGCAGCTCCTGCTGTGTTCACCGTCTTCCTCCAGCTTCAGGCCAAGGGGTGCGTTTATTGAGTCGTGGGATGATAGTAGCTCTGTGTTAACAGCCTACAGTGGCACTGTGGAAAATGAAACAAGTGATGCTAGAATTTTTAGAAGAGTGAGAGCGGAAGCGTCATTTCAGTGCATTAACAAGTCCCCACTCTCTGTAAACGGTCAGGCTATGGGGTGTGCCTTTGTTATTTACCCTACTGATATTACTGTATTATTGATAGTCCAGACAAAACTGGTTGTCCTTTACAGATTGATCTGCCCACCCCTGAAAAACATATTCATAACAAAATTTTCATGGTAGCATTTCAATGTAAAATTCTATTTACAATACACCAAATGTAAGATCGTGAAATCTGAATTTTGGAATTTGAGACTTGGTGCCCCTGGTGGTGTTCTTAAAACACAGCAGTGCACACAGCTACAAATCCTGCCACCAAAGCATTTTACAGTTTTTATTATCACATAAAGATTTTACAAAACAGTATATAACATGTACTGAAATTGGTTCAGTCAAGATGGTTTTTTTTATAACAAGTGTGTGCTGCTGAGCGTATTCTCACTCTTTAATCAACTGTCCAAAAGAGAGACGTTTCCACTGCTGTTTTGAAATGAGTGCAGTCAATCATTAGGTCTCAGTAGAGTTCAGTCAAGTTTTGTTTATTGCAGTGCCTGAGAAAGTAAACAGTGACTTTTTAGTAACAGCAGACTATAAAAATGTGTTTTATGTACAGTATCGGGTGATTGTCTCTGTGATGCAGTCACATGCTTCAGATTTACAGCATTCATCTACATGTTGTGCCAAAGACTTCTGTATCTCAGTTATCTCAGAAGTAATATTTCTCCACAGTGTCTTATCTCTCTGTACAAGTATACTTAGTAATATTGAGAAGACATTTTGTTTCTCATATTGGCGTCAAGGCTCCTTATGTTTTCAGGGGCCTCTAATGCCCTCCATTCAGCACAAAGCATACAGAGCCTTTGTCATTCTCCTGGTACACTCCTCCTGTTGTCCTTCATTGCTTTACTGAAGTGTGGCTGTTCATAACACTGACTCATTTTTCTTACAGAAATTTTCCTAAGGCCTGTGACATATGGGAAGACATTCTGGTTGAGCATCCCACTGATATGCTGGCCCTCAAATTTGCTCATGATGCCTATTTCTACATGGGAGCTCAAACCCAGATGAGGGACTCAGTGGCCAGGGTGCTGCCTCACTGGAAACCGCATATGCCTTTGTTCAGGTACAAAAGACAGCATATATAGTGTTACTAGAGGGACGTAATGTTACTTAATGGGATTGAAAGGGGATTTTAAAAGACATCTGGACCAGGCTTCACTGTACAAGTCACCATGATGAACTTATTCACAGTTGATTGATATTTGCTCCATAAAAAAGTGGTAAAATGTAGTTCAGTACAATGGGAGTGGATGGGCCTTTATAGATGTTAATGATCTATATAACGCTTATGTTACCATAATGAACTAATATGCACAACTGAGCACTGTGTGGTATACCTCATTTTACAAATGGACTGAGTTTGTACTATGCTGTGCAAATACAGTGGGACTGAATAGGCCTCCAGAGGCTTTAATGAAACCCAAACTCTATGTTAGTACATGAGCTTATGTGCAGTTGATCAACATGTAATAGTGAGCATTTTGCTAAATGAATTATCTTAGTATTAGCAGATGTATAACTGCAATGCTTGTTTTTAATCTTTTTCTTTGTAGTTAAATGCCATGCAACCCATACAGAGATGAAAACCAAAAATGTGTATGCACAGTAATATCTGTGGATCCAGACCCTTAATTACTTTATTCATCTGTGCTATAGACCTCCATTGTTGTCCAAAAACTATTAGACTTCCCAGTGAGCCACACCGCTGCACTGGGTGACAGGTTTCTTCCTTATAAGATACACAGGGTAAGTCGTTAATAAAAAAAACAAAAAACAGCTCCAAAGGCTAAGAACAGCCATCACTTTTTACAGCCTCTGAAGTGAGACAGCGCATGAATGTTTGCACATCTGCGCTAGGTTCTCGCAGTACACATAAGGACAAGAGACATCCAGTAACTTACTTCAGACTGTAAAAAGCGATGGAAGTTATTAGCCTTTGCAGCTCTTTTTTCAAATAAAACGTACACCACATATTTTGTGGGGAATAAAGATGTCCACGATGTGGCCCACTGGTGTGTTTTTTAAAGTTTTCGGGCAATAGCGGAGGCATAGACGAATAAACTATACAAGGTTATGGATTCATAGGCATTACACTGAATAATGTTGGTTGGTTGTTTTAGTGTTTGTATGGGATTTGTGAAAAATAACCAAAAAATAGAAAGTCACCGGCAGACACGATTAGCAAATAGCTGGTAACCACAGGGAGCACTTAGCTGGTAAAGAGCCAGATGTTCTCCACGGGAGTTGTAGAGGCCTGAAACAGAGCTAAAAGAGTGAATATTAGACTTTTATTCACCTGTTGACCAGAACTATGAGTCTAGATGTATTTCAGTATGTCAGTATTGTGTTCCTAACTTGTTTCTCTTGCTCCCAAGTAGCAAAAAAAAAAAAAAATCAGCTATTGCAGGTTTAAAGGTTTTTCAGGACTAGCTCATTATTTATGAGAATTTTCAAAAGAGAAAAAAAAAATTCAGGACTGTGCATGAAATTATCGATGACACACCATTTGTGTGTTTCAGGAGGAATTTGTTGAGGTGTAGGTGGTGATTGAATGTCCTGTCCCGCAGAGAGTCATTTCTCACACAGTGGGTAGCCTCAGTGCTTTATAGGTGATCGCTCACTGAGAGTAAATGATTGTTTTCATCCACATTCTTCCTTCGAAAACACATGTTTGAAGTTTATAAATGAATTTGACCAAACAAAATCCACTCCATATTTCATCATGTTATGATAACTTCACAAGAATGTCTCCAAGCTATGTCTGTACCACAGAGACAAATCTGCAGTGTACCGTCAGAGCTTTGCCACAGCGAAAATGAAAGCCCGTACATGGCGGTGATGTGAAGCCAGTTCTCAGCATGATCAAAAGCTGGTGATGGCAAACAAAAGCTGACACCAATCTAATGAGCATGTTGACTATTAAAAGCAAATTGGGGTCACTGTCTTTGTTTTTGCCCAAGGCTTGTTCATAAGACCAGCATCTGCTTTTCATCATCCCAGCTAAACTGAATTGGTGAATAAAAGTTCTTCCCTTCCTATGAGTTGTGATTGAAGTCTTTTTTTTTTTTTTTTTTTTTGCATGTGTGCACCCAGCTATCTGAAAGGACTGTATTCCTTTGGTCTCCTGGAGACGCACTTTTATGACCAGGCTGAGAAAGTAGCCATGGAGGTGAGATCTTTTTTTTCTTCAGTGTTACACTGAGTGTACTGGCATGGCTGAGTGTGTCGGTCAGTGCTTGGTCCTGTGATAAATGTGACCATGTTCAGCTTGGTGGCAAGTCTGCTGTGTGATCATTTCGGAAGATGCAGTTTGTGCTGCTGTTGAAAAATACTGCAATATAGAGAGAGGAGTTTTTGTTATGGACAAAATAATAGAAACACCTGTCGAACTCCAAATTAATCATACAGTAAAATCTGTACCTCTCTAAAACAGTTTTAACAAAACATAGCCACCTTCACAAAAAGTGATAATTGCAGGGCTGTTGCATTAGACGGCTTTAATTTTAGCTTGGTGTGTCTAATAAACAGACAACTGCTTGTTGTACACTGTCGCCATTATTGTGGCTGGGTGGTCCAGGCTGTCTGTGCCTATGCTGATTGTGTCACTTAAATTCGGTGAGTAATGTGCTGTTGAAGACCAATAATAAGTAGCCCATCCAGAGCTCAGCACCCCGACTCTTCTCTGCTGAATGAGTAACATATGCATAGTAGCTGTGACATGAGCATCACTTGAACAAAGACTGAGGAACCTCAGAAACAAAATGAACGATAGTAACTGAGAGTTAAGCTTGCTGTTATTTTTGAATTGTCATTTTACTCTAGCATGCAGGAAATACTGTAAAGCACTTTCTGCATCTGCGTTACTCCTCTTCGCTTCAGGCTGTTAAACTCTCTTATGCAGGGCCTTGCTCTGACTCCAGATGATGCTTGGTCTGTCCACTCTGTAGCCCATGTTTATGAGATGAAAGCGGAGGTGGACAAAGGCCTGAAGTTCATGGAGAGTAGAGAGAAAGACTGGCAGGTACAATGCCATAGTTATTTTCCCCTCTTGAAGTATGTTTTATTAATGGTATGCATTTCTGTCTTTGGCAGAGTTAAATTACAAACTGAAGTAGCCCCATATGTACTGTTTAATTCCAGGTATGTGATGTCCTGGCCAGTCATAACTACTGGCACTGGGCTGTGTACTTTATCGAGAAGGTAAGGATTATAATGAGTTTTCTCAGTCAAGCGAATACTTGGCAGTAGGAGTGTCTGTGGAACTTGTATTTATGATGTCCTTTTCTTTGGGTAATCTGAAGCTTGGTGATTATGTTGGGAGATTAATTTGTGTTTGCATCTGTGTAATACAATTTATCAACCTCTAGACTGAACCTATTCAAATCTGTCTTTCTCGTCACCTCCTCTTCCTCTGCAGGGTCAATATGAAGATGCTCTACAAATATATGATTCTCAGGTTGGTTTGTGTTGAGTGTTTGGATTAAAGCTTTATTTGACAGGCAGGTGACAAAAGCAAGGAAAAACCAACACAAAGTGTCTCAGTGAGGTCTTGAACCAACATGTGCCACCAAAGCAGCTACAGTGCTCCTTAGCATTGACCCTACAAATATCTGAACAATGCTAGATGGGTGAACACCATTCTTCCAAAGGATATTCCCTTTAATTTGTTGCCTGTCTGTGTTGGCCTGAGTACAGACCCACAAGTCATGCATGTACTAATACACTGGGGATGCAGACTAAAAGCAATGTCTTTCACTTCTTGTGAGGAAAGAGTTACAGTGTGAACAAATGGAGAAATCTGTTAACATGTGAGAGCAAAGGAAATCCACCACCCACTTCAGTGTCAACAACCACAGCTGATTATTTTTTTATTCACTCTAAAAAAAAAAAAAAGAGGTAGTTTCAAAATGAAGCTCTTTAATGTCCTGTATCTTTACATTGTAGTACATAATGCTTCACTGTCATTTTCAGCAGAAATGATTAAATCAGTTTAGCTGAAATTCAGGAATGTTTAACTGCTCACATCAGGGGGATCCAGCAAGACATAAACGCATAAATTAAAAAATGTATTTCTCTGTAAAATTACATTTTGTGGAGGCAGTTAAATGTTACATCCTTAAGTGTTGATGTGAATAGTAAAAGTGTGTCCTGTCTCCCTAAGGTATTCAGACGTTGTAAAGCTTCAGGATCTATGTTGGACATTGTAGATGCCTGTTCAATGCTCTACAGGCTTGAAATGGAGGGTAAGATGTGGGTTAATATGGGAATTTATGAAGTGTCTTATTAAGGAAATTGCATTATGGAAGGTGGGAAGGGAGTTCTCATCAGTCTGTTACATGGTATCTTGGACATTACTGAGCAGAGTCTGATTAAATTTCAAGTAATGATGTGTGTTATTTAAAAAAAATGACACTTTGGCCTGATGACAGACAAGTTGCTATAGTGTGGTCTTAAGGGAAAGTGCTAATGATTTAGGAAGCCTTATTATTCTAAAAGTCAAAGTGCTATTTAGGAGAGAGCTGTAATTAGCAGAACTTCTGACCGACATTTCAAAAATGTTCTTTCTTTGAAAGGTTTCTGTTGGTTCATGTTTCAGGTGTGTGTGTGAAGGACCGTTGGCGGGAACTGCTCCAGGTAACACAGCCTCACACTGATGATCACGTGACCTTATTTAATGATCTCCATTTTCTCATGGTGTCGCTGGGAGCTAAGGAGAGCTGCATATCTCGGCGTCTGCTCGAGGGCCTCCAGGAACTGGCTAAGTAAATTCTGCACTATTTCTCCTCCTCACTGCACACCTCAACACTGTCAGGCTTATATAAGAGCCACCCAGGCCTTATGTAAAACTGAGACAGAAACAAGGCTGAGCGTAGGCTGGTTGGCGAGATAGAGAGCGGATGCAGTCAGAAAGAGAATTGAGAGTTGCAGGAGTTCCCTCTGTAGCAGATGTTGTACCAGCAGCTGCTGCATCGGTGGAGTTTTGTGGTTATAATGTGTTCTGGCATCCCGGCCGCCAGCAGCCTGTTCTCTCCATTTTGTCCTGCACACAACCCACAGAAAAGCTGCAGTTTATAACCGGGCTGTTAAATTGTCATGTTTTTCACTGTTATGTAATTTAAAGCAAGTCACAAGAGTTGGGCAGAAGGGAAGTAGCTCTTGAAAGTCAGCCATAACTAAAATTCTCTTCTCAACACAGCTGCACTTTGAATCATCAGGCAAGCATGTTCAAACTTTGCATTATTTAATTGCATCACTTACCTGTAGTGTCACTTTATTACCTTGCTTTTGAATAACAATTTTTATTACCTAGTAGCAGCATTCAAGGCTTTAATTTCATTACATAGCCCTAAAAAAACACAACAGTTTGTGACAGCAGGTGAAGTGGAGCAAACCGAGTCCTATGTTTTATCTGTCAAGTTCCTCACTGTAAAGCAGTTTGTGACAGTTATGTGTTTCAGCTCTGTAAGAATACTTAACTAAGACGCCAGATGCATGTTTTACAGAAAGAACTACTGTCTAATGCTTTTTTTTTTAATTAATGAAGTAAATATGTATCATGCTGCTTTGGGGAATGTTTACATAGGCTGTTGCAAATTACTCTCTGCAAAATATGGCATCTTTTTCAATTTGGCAAGGTATTTATTGAGACTACACATGTAAATGAGCCCAGCAACAGTTCAGTGGATTTGTGGAAAGGGCTGCTAAATAAGCTCCGACAGCTTTAATGTCTACATGTTTGGAAGATACTTATGGAACTGTTAGTATGTATCATGCCAAAAAAGGCTATGGAAATGTAATTAAATAGGCCAGTGACTGAATGAAAATCAATGTGTGACATTTATACTGTAGTAAAACATAAGTCTTAAAAGTTCTTCAACTGGCTTAAAAAACATTACAACAAGCTACTTAAGTACCAGCTACCGACTGCTTCAATTCTGTTGCACCAGTCTGGGCAACTGTAAGCCATTACAAATGAGGGAAAGCGCATGTTCAAGAAGGAGGCCACTGTGGGAGACAGAAAAGTTGTATGAAAACTAAAGCTACTTAAAATGCATTACTTGGTTTCTGTCAGTTCTTCTTGCTTTGTCTGCCTTTCTCACTCAGCATTTTGACCTGGCTTAGTCTTTCACCTATCTGTCCACTAAAACAGTGCTACAGATTTAAAATCAGTTCTTAGATGTTAAATTTTAGACACAGCCATCTTATCTTATCTTGCTCAGTCAGTAGTGATATACTTTATCAGCTGCAGGGCTGTTTGTTTAAAAAAAAATGTCCTCTTATTTTGTGATTTCAAAGAGGAATGCCTTAAAAATACATACCATATAAGACCAGAAACAGTTTTTATCTGTGCAATTTACATTGTGCATTTCACTTGTGCAGAACCTACATAGATATGGTCCTTTAGTAAATAAAAACAAATGCAGTGTGAGTTTTCCTTGCCTGTAAGTCCTTACTAAATTTCACCATTTGTGTCTTTTCCATCTTGCTAAGGTGTATATATAAAAAAAAAAAAATTCCCCACTCGCCCCCCACTTTGGGGAGGTCTTGTATTCCTTCCTTCAAGCTCAGGTCCTCTACCAGAGGCCTGGGAGCTTGAGAGTCCTGTGCAGTATCTTAGCTGTTCCTAGGACTGCACTCTTCTGGACAGAGCTCTCAGATGTTGTTCCTGGGATCTGTTGGAGCCACTCTCCCAGTTTGGGGGTCACAGCCCCCAATGTTCCTATTACCATGGGGACCACTTGTGCCTTCACCTTCCACATCTTTTCTAGTTCTTCTTTCAGCCCTTGGTATTTCTCAAACTTCTCATGTTCCTTCTTCCTGATGTTGCTGTCGCTTGGGATTGCTACATCTATCACTATGGCCTTCTTCTTCTGTTTGTCCACCACTACTGTCCAGTTGGTTGGCCATTACCAGTTTGTCAGTTTGTATCTGTATCTTGTATAAAATATATATACATACATACATACATAGGTAAATGGTCTTATACTTGTATAACGCTAAATAAATATTGTTATATTATTTTCATCCAAGATTTATACATTGACAATCATACAACCCAAAAATTTTATTTCTCCTTGAGCACTAGTTTCTAAACCTTCCAGCTTTACCAAGAAATGACTTCTATTGCTGCTACTTTTCTTCTCAGAGAGCCAGGGGACAATCAGCAACATCAGCTGGCTGGGACCATCGGTATACCGATGTGTCAGGCCATGATGGAGTATGACCAGGGCAACTACAGTCAGACTGTGGAGCTCCTGTACCCCTTACGCTACCGCATGGTAGACATAGGTGGCAGCGATGCCCAGGTAAGATCCACAGAGATGTGGGAAACTCGAGCAAGAAAAATGAAACAAAATCAAGGCCAAACCCACTGCAGCTCTCTTATGCACAGCTGAAAAGGTTTCAGCCTTGAGGCTTTACTTCCTTTGGATATCATTGATCTTACTGTATTGTGTTTTCTTGAGTAAAGCACAAATCCCTGTTGCTGTGAAAATAGGCCAGAGGTGAAGAACGCTCTGAATAAGAGTTAAAGCCTTTCAGTTAGGAACATACTACATGGTGTGGACCATAGTGCACCAGTGTATGAATAATGAATCTCTGTTGGCTTCAGACACTCTGTGTTCTTTGTATTCAGACACTGTTCACCAAGGTGTAGCAGCCTACATGTATTATAACACAACAAGGTAGAAATATTTAAAATAAAGATGCACATTTGTTTATTGTGAATGGGTTTGTCCACTGCTTTTTGCAGAGGGATCTCTTCAATCAACTGCTTATTCATGCAGCCATGAAATCAGAGAATAAGCGCCACCAGAAACTAGGAAGGTAATGCACAGTCACATTTTCAGGCCAAACACAGGATGCTTCAGGCTTTTTTGATTGTAGTACTGTGTTTTGTGCCATCTGTGTTTGTCTGTGGGGAACTTCTGGGAGAATATAGGAGGAAAAAATAAACTTTAACCTGATACTGCATAGTTTAAGGTGCAGTCCAACCAGAAAACAAGCTGTATGCTCCCATTATGTAACCAACATCCACTGTCTGCACAGAGTAACACTTTCATTGCTTCGGTTAGCCTCTCAGCTTGTAGTTCATTTGAATATCTCCTTGTATTGTCTTGTGCTGTGTTGAATTACCCCAGATGTCTTCTGGTGGAGCGCGATGCTGTGAGGCCCAACTCATCTCTAACTGATCGGCTGATGCAGAGAGCCCTGTCTCTTCACATCTAGGCTGACTGCAGGGTGCACAGAGCAGTTTCTATGCAAGAACATCAAACCCCCACCATTAGAGTTGACTGTAGAAGACACCTTCACCAAGGAAGGAATCTGGCACTGCAGCAACCTGTTACACCGTGCTATTTTTAATGTAATGCTCTTTGGGATAGTTAAGCTTTGTAAGTGAACAAATTTGCACATTTTTGAAGTTTATGACCTAATATTAATCACAGGTTGCCAGTTTTGCATGATAAATAACCCATAGTAATAATAATAATCATATGCTTTATTATTAGCCTTTTAGCAAAACTGACACCTTCTAATCAATATAGATCATTGCAGCTATTCTCTTCTTCTGAATTTTATTAGCATGTCTTACATTTAAACATAAATCATTGTGAGAGATAAAATATTGTCAACATCAGTACAAAATCCATGTTGAAAATCAATAAATATACACTTTGCACTTTGCACGTGAATGAGTATTTGAGCAACATAATAAAATGCAGGACATTTGTATGCCCATGGGCAACATGTCAAAGGTGGAAAAAATGTAACATAGCACTGATATAGTAGCTGTTAAAAAATAGAAAAGGTGTCCTTGCACATGTCAGAGGGTGATGAGAGAAGTACTGGAAATGATTTTCTTCCCTCCTCTTCCCCTTCATTGGCCCTCTCTCACAGTACCGAGGTAATCTCATCTTGGATCTGAGAGATCAGGATCTGGGACAGTACGATTCCTGCAATCTAGAGAACAGCAGCAGTCAGGATAGATTACAGAACGGACTCTTTATAACTGTACAGCCTGTCCAAGCATCTCAAGGTCCCTCGCAAGGATGTTTTAATGGCTCAGGGAGGTTTCAAAATTAGATAAAACTGCTTGGTTAGAGCTGCTTGAAATAACAGCATAATCATAATAACACAATTATACTTCATACAAATCAGTTCTTAGAGACCAATCGTTTTTCTCAGAGAAGAGTTTTTTGATAATTTCAGTAGTTTGATTTTAAATGTGGCTTCTTCAAATCCACCGCTAGTGTTTAGTGAGGAAGTGAAACACTAGAAAAGAAGTTCATCATCAGATTTCATTCACACCAAAGCAATTGTTTTGACTGGACTCGTGGACAATTCGCATGCTTCCCTCTTAGCAGAACCAGAAATTTCCCCATTGTGGGATCAATAAAGTACCTACTCTACTCTACTCACTGGGGAGCCAATCAGGCAGATATGAGAGCAGCAGAAATCAGGATAAAGATCCAGCGGCAGAGCAGCAAGTCACATTGTGAGGCTGCACTTTGGCAGTACCTGAATCTTCTTGATAAGTAAGCGGACTAATGATTTTGAGACTCAACTTGCTAAGTGCTAATGTGATTTCATGGCCAATCTGACAGATTGGCTTGAGTTATTAACATGATTTAAAGCTCTGGGATTGGACATGTGCTGTGCAGCGGTGCTGAGTGAGTAGGAAGGAGCTGTCAGTATCCTCCTTTCTCAGACCCAATCTAAAATGATCACACACAGACTTCCACCTCAGTTGTACATTAACCTGCACTTTTGATCTTGAACAATGCATTGATGCATTGTAGTTACTTAATGCTGTCAAGGTACAGTATAACTCTCCATTTAAAATCAATTGCCCCAGTGGCCCCACATTAACACTATAGCCTGTCAGTTTCTTTTTGAACATTTTTTATTAGATTTTTTTCCTTTTGTACCAAGACCATGTTATTCTATGTGAGAAAATCAGAACCTCTGCAGAGAGGCTGTTGGAAGCCCTCTGACAGATGTATGAATTATGTGTTAACTCAGGAGAGGCGCAGGGTCCTGATTGATGAAGTGTTGCTCTGTCTGTTTCGCAGCCCTGTCCAAATGCACCATGCAGGTCTGTGTTTGCAGTAGCAGGGCTTGTCAATATGTTGATTACTGCACGCTCAATCTGGTGAGCCTCCTGTTGATGCCTGTATTGACTTGTGTATGTGTGTGAGAGAGAGAAAGACAGTTTATTGAAGACGGGAGTCATATCTGCTCTGAACTGTTACCTCCACTAAGGATGGGGGTTATGTTTTTGCCTGCATATATTGGTTTGTTTGTCTGCTAACAGCATAACTCAAAAAGTAATGAACGGATTTTGATTAAGCTTTTTGGAGAAGTAGGGTATGGCCCACAGAACAATTGATTAGATTTTGGTGCTGATCTGAATGATAATTTAGATACATAAAATTTTTAAGGATTATTCAATATCGTGAGTGCTGCAAAGGCTTTTGAATGTATTTGAGCAGTGCATGTCTGTACTGCTGAGCATTCAGAGCACATAGGGAGACAAATCCCTGGGTTAATGACAGCTGCCCATTTACTGCCAATAGAAACTGAGCACTGTCACTCAGTACACCCCGCAGTGCAAGACAGGGTCTCAAGGAGCCCAGCGAGGCAACAGTCCAGAGGTGGGGAAAGATCTACTCTATGCAGCTACAGCCGGGGGAGAGCCTGAAAGCAGAGATTTTGAGCCAGACTCAAATATGTTATCATTTTCATCCTGGTATTTTGCCATTTTATTAAGATAACAGTCACCTGGCATAACCTCCTAGGTTGAAGTGGAACGTCCTGTGTTGCTTTCTCACTGTATTTTGTGCTGTGTCGATCTCTGTTTAGAGGAGAGAGGGGCTGTGCTCTTTTCACACACTCACACACACAGCTGAGCAGAGGACATGAAAGATCTCTCCATAATGCATCAGTCAGCCAGTAAAGGAGACTGTATGAGCAGTTTACCAAACAGCTATTGAAACGCAGAAGTCACACTTGTAGAAATGTGACATCTTCACCGCTTTGCCTGCTGTCCACTCACTGAAGTTCCCATTTTACCCATAAACCAACAAGTGAATGTCTGTTGTTTTTCTTGAATAACTGTCAAACTAATAATGATATCAGCATCATTCCAAATGCAAGCAGTAGGTTTTCATGGTCATATATTATGAGGGTCAGATTATCAGCGGAATATTGTTTTTATGGGAAAACCGAGTTGCCCCTTGGCAGAGGTTTGCAGTCTTTGAATGCTTTCTAGTTGCACATACGTCTATATTAAATTAGTGCGAGTTTAGGGTTTACCTGAAGCAAGGCCAGACCCAGGGCAAGACCCCCCACCAGCAACAGATGAGACTCAATCCATGTCACTGCCCTGTCTGCGCAGCCTACTGGGTAAATTAACGCGTTTGCCTCTCGGTAGTCCTGGGTTTGAACCCCAAAACCGCACATAGTGTTAATCACTGCCTGTGTGACAGATGGACAGAGGCAAAGAGAACATGAGTGTTAAAGATCACCTTGATTACAACATAAACTTGAAACATTTCTCAGAGAATGCTCTCACAGGCTGCTGTTTCACATCTCTTGTGTTGTTTTGCCTTGACAAAGATATTAAGTACTGTGACAGCTCAGGGAGAGTTTTACAGAAGCTGGCTAACTGTAGAGACTTGGAATAAGAAAAGGAAATGACAAGAGAGCAATACAATCACATCCATTTCATCATGTGACAGTGAGGTGTCTGAAGTAGCCATGCAGTTGCAAGCTATGAACAGCAGGTTGCAGCACTATATCAGCTCTTCTAATGTGTAATTAATTAGATTTTTTTATCCAAGTAGAAAAGCTTGCTGTGATCTATTTTCTGTGTAGCATGATGTAAAATCAATATTAGTGTGTTCGATCTACATGCACTCTTTAGTTTCCTGCCTTCACACAAACTAGAGGGAATTGTCAGTGCTGCTGTGTTTGCTTATTTTTTATGTCTGTGTGTGAGCATAAATGTGTGTATTCATGCATGCATAAGTAAACTATTTACATATATACTGTTTGTTTGCTGCCGTACATCCTTATCTGAGCTCACTGCAGTTTTTGTGCATGTTCAGGTCACTGATTCTGGTTAGACAAAATATAAAACCTTCATGAAAAGAGGCTTAAATTTTGAAGCAGGTAAACAACGCCACCCGCACTACTGTGACAGGTGATGAGGTTACTGCAGGCTGCACATCAGATAGCATATCAACACCATATGTTTATATGTTGTTATACCGCATTCAGTTAGCCCCCTGAATGGCCTGTAGGTGTGAATGGCTATCGCTGTCTTTATCTCTATCTACATGACTGGAGACCTGTCTGGTGTGCCTCTCTCCCCAGGGTCAGCTAGGATAGGCTCCAGCCCCAGCTGTAATGGGTTGTTAATTTCAGCTTGTGCCCACTGTAACTTTGTTGATGCAGCTAGATTTTACGGACTTTTTTGTTGATCATTTTATCATTTTGATTTTATGCTAAACCACCTTATGCATCTGGCTCATGACTCACTAAAACACTCAGTCTCACACTAGTCATTCATACCAGCTACAGATGCCTCAAAAGGGAGAAATGCTTGGTCATTATCAGACCAGTTTTAGTACAAAAACCTTCTCCCAAAGGAAAGGGCAGTAGTTTATACCTGCAGATGTAGGCAGGCAAAGAAATAAATAGCTTCTATAGGTTTAGCACAATTGTGTATTTCAAAATAATGTGAATCATGTTTGTCACTGTCAGGAAACTTACAGACAGATGACAAATGAAAAGAAAAACCAGCATAAAGCGCCACAATAAGGTGTTGAACAAAACAGCATCAGTGCTCCTTAGCACTGACTCTACAGGTCTCTGAACTCTACTGGAGGGATGACCACCACTCTTCCAAAAGATATTCCCTCATTTGATGTTTTGACATCAGTCCAAAATCATCTATAGGTGTTCAACTAAGTTGAGAACCATTTTCAGTGACCCCTCATTCCCTGTTGATGGGGACATTGTCACCCTGGAGGAAATTACAAATCTGATTAGGTTTTGCTGTCAATTTGTCACCTGCCTGTACATCTCACTGGCTGTGAACCACTGACTGACTGGTACAGTACGTTGTATATGCAGTAGATCATCTGAATTGTGTTTTTATTGCATTGCTTCACATTAATAGCAGCTAATCGGTGAGTGTAGGGTGGTGTAGCGACACCTCCTGTAGTGATATCAGCACAGAAAAAAAAGAAGAACTTACTGAGATACATCCTGAAGAAAACTGACATTACTGAATTATCACTATTCTTTAATAACTTTCAAACTACTAATGATATGAATGTCATTCCAAATGCTACAGGAAGGTATTACTAGGGTTAGGTGTAATGACATGGGTGGAAGTTTGCGCTCTGTTAGTGCTATCTATTTAGTTGGTACTTTTAAAGGAGTATTAGTTTGCTACGTTATAGGAGTCTTTATTTAGAAAAAAAAAAAACTTACCTCGCCAGGTACAGGAGTGCAACAGGAGTAAGGAACAGCACAGCGCTCAAAGCTGGGATTCTCATGTGTACAATTAAAGTACAGGTTCCAAGACCAGTCTGTGTACTTATTCCATCCACAGCATTTGATCTAAATGAAGGAAAGAGAGAGAGGAGAGCACAGCACAGGTGTATATTTAGAAACATGGCTTTGCAGTGCACTGATCCTGGCAGTCTGGGCTTCTCCCATAGGAAAACCCAGTCTCACAAGTGTGCCAGTTTGTGCAGATGGGGGAGGAATATCATATGAGGAGACCCCTTAGAGCATGGGAACTGTAAGTTACATGTGTCCTGATGTAGAAACCTTTCACCAAGGACATAATTATAAACATTAGATACATGTCTCTGTGAGCAATGACTGTGGTTTCTTGGTTTAGTGCTTGGATTTATTCAGTAAACTATAGCTATGATCAGTTTGAAGACTTGCGTCGTTTGGATAGCTACAGGCACAAGCAGAGACCACTCTGGGAATTGGCATGAATACCTCTTTCTGGATGTAATCCATCAGGTTTTGTAGATCCAGGTCGTCCCTGTAGTGTACAATGGCTTTCTTCACAAATTTTCCCAAAGCACCCCGGGTCTGGCAGAGAGGACAGAGGGCAGTTTATTCACTGAATAATAGTGTTAATATAAACATTTCCATGTTCTAAAGAAAGAAAATCTGTCAAAATGACCAGAGGTGAACTTATCTACAAGTGTCTCTGTAAGTTATAGAGTCATTTGTGTATGTTCAAGTATAACCATCCTGTTAAGTTGCTCAGTGTCATCGTGAAACCTCTCAGGCTTTGTGGCTCATTTAATTACTCGGGCTGTATGTTTTGGGTTGAACTGCAATGTACCTTTTCTGAAACCTCCTATAGGCAGATGCTGCTCAAATTCTTCCAGAACTCATAATGGATTGGATCTGGGATCATTACAGTCTACGCTCATAATGGATTGGATCTGGGATCATTGCAAATCCCGAGTATAACAGTCTACAGAGAGTGGTCAGGTTTGTATTCATGGTTGATCAAGTGATTTTACGTTGTATTTTATCTACTTTTATGGTACCTTTAGTGTAGTTTGTATATGCACTGTTTATGAATATACTGTATTGTTGCATTGCACTGTACATCTAGGGACATGTTGCACATAGGCTTATAGCCTGTAAATGGAATTATGTGTGGAGATGGTCTCTTCACTGAATATTTTGTTCTCACATATCTGTGCATGTAAAAATAAACAAATAACAGATGTCTAAGGGCTACACATAGCATCCTCTTATTTGCATTGCATGAGCATCCTGTGGGATGTGTCTTGACAATGCAGTAGAGGAGCAGGAACTCCTGCTTCAGTGTGATGGAATCAAGAGTGCAAAATATTAATGAAAACATTCATACCTTAGGTTACACAGTGCATACCAAACACAGAATTTATGCTATTTCAGCTGCAGTAGATAACAGCTTGAACTTGGGCATTTGTTTTTAGAACGTAGTCATTTTCATCAGCACAGAACCTGAGTGAAATTAAATTACATGCATTGATTTGACTGAAAAATGTTATGTTTTAGTCCCCCTCACCAGGAGGGTGAGGGAGAACTG